CTTTAATGTTTAGCTTGTGTATTTTCGAGAACATATTAATCTAGGATTTTTTTTTTACCCAGACAACTGAACTTGAAAAAAATTCTTGTATCTGGGGGTCTCATGGAATACAAAGTTGATCCTGAACATTTGGAAGAAAATGAGGGTCAAAAAATTTGCATTCTTGCAATGGATGGAGCTGGAAGGGTAAGTATATATTTATGTGAAAGTGTGGTAATGTTATTTTCAATTGATAGCTATAGAGGATCTGATAATGTGAAAATGTATTGCTATTTTAGTGATGATTCCTATTAACTTTGTTTCCCTACTGATTTTTGACATTCAGTACTAATTAGTATGGAGCTGGTATTTCAGAGAAGTATGACAACATTTAATCTAATGTTGTGCAGTGTTGCTTTGTTAAACTGTAATTTAAAAGTTCATTTATTGTGCATGAAATGAAAATAAGGGATTTTACTGGATTATTTGGTGTGTACACACACACACACACACACACACAGGGGTACTTCAAAAAGTTTGTGGAAAAATAGAATTGAAAAATAATACTTTTGAAGTACTCGTGTGTGTGTGTGTGTGTGTGTGTGTATGCAGTTTAAAAAAAATAATTTGTTTCTCCATCGATTTTCATTTATCCTCAGCATATATAAAATTCTTATCTATATGCAGAGTTTTTAACTATCCACACTGTATATAAAAGATAGTGTATTTTTAGATCATTAGTATATAAAAAATCTCTTATCTCAAAAGGAGAGTTCTAGTTTCAGTTCTCTGTGCAAACATATCAGTACATTTCTCTAATAAGATTGTTAATTTAAGGTACAGATTAAAATTATAAATATCTAAGTATATACTTAAATTAATATTATCAGTGTGTTATATATATAGCTATTTTTAAATTTAAAATAATATATTTAAATAATAATATATTTAAATTTAAAAAATTATGTTTAAAAATATGCATTAGTAATACTGAAAAATGTATACACTGTGACTAGATAACTTTATACACTGTGAACAGATAACTTTCTGGGTTTTGCTTATAAAATGAAAAAAATAATTTGTTCTGAGGTTGATAAAGCTCTGTAAAACTTGACATTTTAGAAATTGAAGAATTAATTATAAATCTTCACTTACTGCTTCATTATAGGCATAAGTTTCTGCAGTTGATAATTTTAATAGAGGAAAGTAGGTTTAAGAATTAGAGCTGTAATTTGTACTAACAGAAGGAAACAGAGGCATGGGAATACATAAAAGAGATGAGTATAAAAACTTACATTTGACTTTGGGAGTACTTGTACTTATATTAATATGGATTTAGTTTATACTTCTCGGTATTTACTTCCTGCAAAATACAGTCACTATGAAAACCAAGTTCTGAAGGAATCGATCAATCTCAACCATTATAGTCTTTTTTGTGTGTAAATAACTTTTGAATGAGCTTGGCAGATACATTTTGTACTTTAGTTTTCTTAAGTTGATTATGAGGGAATTAGAATTTTAAAAATCAGTTTTAATTTTCCAAATGAAATCCTACTTGGAATACCAATATATGAAACAGATAAAAAGAGCTGCTCTGTGTGTACAGCTGAATTGGGAAGCCTAACATCCCATCTGTCATCATTCTCTCCCTTTCTTGGCAATAGTTCCTGAACCACTTCTCAGGAACACTAAGGTTTGCAAAACCATTTGAAACCATTAAACACCATGACAATTTTTTTATTTGTGAGATTTTGTTTTAGTTATATAATTGAGTTATGCATACATCTACTTTTTTTCCTGAGAGTAAAGTTTGGATTTTTATAGGGTAATTTTCATTCTTCTTATAAATTGATGGAACTACAGCAAGGCTGACATGTCAGTTTTAGCTTTAAGAGTTTGGTTTTCTTTAGCATCTTAGCAGATTTATTTGCCCCAAGCGAGTAATGCCAAAAAATGACCTCTCCTGAAGAAGAGTGTGTTTGAAATAATTTTTATTGCTTCTTGTTTGCATAATGTACTTTCCTGAGAGATGTAGTTATTTAAAGTAATTTTGACTTTTGTTTTTTATTTTTTGACTTTTATACTATCTGTCTTTTTCTGTGGACGGATGAACATTGAAACATACTAATTAGAGCTTTGGTTTTGACAATATTGTCTTTTGATTTCAGGTTTTGTTTCTTCAGATTCTACATTGCTTTATATCCCAGTGTGATTTGGTTTTATTTTAGGTGTTTTGCTGGAGATCAGTCAGTAGTTCTTTGAAGCAGTGTCGATGGGCCTATCCACGCCAGGTCTACATTTCTGATATTGCTTTAAATAGAAATGAAATTCTATTTGTCACACAGGATGGGGAAGGATTTAGAGGGAAATGGTTTGAAGAAAAAAGAAAGATTTCTGAAAAGAAAGGTCAGTTCATATGTGTGGATGGCACATAAAATACCCTTTCAGTTAATCTTTAATTTGACAAGTATTGTTAGGTTTTCCCCTTATGTGTTTATGTATTTATCTTTGTGACTAGCTTTTTTAAAAAGTGCCTGTCTTCTATTAGATTAAGTTCATTGACGGCAAGGGCCATGGTTATTCCACTGTGTCCTTAGCATTTGGCATATCTCCTGACATACTTCCTGGCACATTGTAGTCCCTCATTGAGTCATCTGTTGTATGAATAAATCAGTTATTGTATGTTAATGTTTATAATTACTCAGAAAAATATAAACATATTCTTCAAAATCATAAAGCCATAAAAGAATTTTTAGATAATTTATTGATTTGTTGTATTTCTTTTATTTCTTTATAGATTATCTAAGTCTATAAACATGTAAGGTATATTTACTATGTGCCAGATAGAGGGTGAGGTTTTAATTATAGAAAAATATATAAAATGAACCCCTGTTCTGAAGCACTCAAGCTTGTAGAAGTGATATATATGTATCTAAATGCAGTTCACTGAGACAAATGCTACTATGCACGTATAAGTTTCTTGAGAACATAGAAATTGGAATAACTGAGTTTCAGGGTTTAATTAGTAAGATCCCTAAGACTGAAATACCCATAGAGTGAATTTGAGAGAGTAACCAGAAAACAGATTTGACTTGTTAGTATTGGAAGTCTTTAGAATTGGGTCTTAGTCATGCCTAGTGATCTGGAACTGAATTTATGATCTCATGCTCTCATATCTGTTTCTTGTTTTCTATCTTAGTAAATGGTTATCTTTGACACCTCATATTCCTTCACCCAGTACATGCAATCAGTCACCAACTTTTATAATTTCTGCCTCAATGTTTCTGAAATCTTTACAGTTTTCTCCAGATGGATTGCTACATCCCCAACCTATATCATCTTTTATTCTTTTTCTGGACTTAAAGTATCTTTCTAAATGGCCTCTTTATATCTATTCTTTATTTACTTAAAACATTCTTCAGACTACAGACAGAATAATTTCTTCACATGCAAATTTTCTATCTATGTGCAAGCATTATATACTTTGCTTTCATAGCCTTGGTTTGACTTGTAATGATATAACAATTTGTTTAATATCTGTCTTCTCTACTAGATTTTGTATTCCATGAGGGTGGAGACATGTCTATATTGTTCACTACTGTATCACTAGGGATAGACTGATGATCACTGTATCACATTAGCAGCATATGTTCACCCAGATATTTGCTGAATAAATGCAAGAAAGGGGCAGGAGGAAGGGAGGGAGCAAATAAATAGATTATGAAGATACTAAATTTATATATTTTTAAGGCAAGGTGAGGAACTATAAAAGCTAGTATGACGCTAGATTTGCTTTTTAGAAAGATAGCTTTGATTGCAGTATAGAGGATGTTTGTTGAAAGACATGAAATCATGGATAATTGATAATTGACCCATCAAAAATTTCTTGTGTGATACAACCAATATATTTGGTGCAAAATGTTGTGTTAGAGAGAGAGAAGATGTAGTTCTTCAAAAGGACTTAATGTATTTGAAAAATATTTTCATTTTCTCCCAATTGTTTTCCTGCCTCATTTACTCCTAAATCCTTTTAGTAGTTTCAATAAAGCCTTGATTAATGGTAGTTTTATTTTTTTCTTTTTAGCAGAAATTTTATCAAGTCTTCATAATTCTTCAGCAGATGTGTCTTGTGTCTCTGATATAAACAACATGTATGAAAGAATTCGACTTGAGAAACTTACTTTTGCCCATAGAGCTGTTAGCATCAGCACAGATCCAAGTGGGTGCAACTTTGCAATCCTGCAGTCAGATCCTAAAACAAGGTATACTTTTATATATTAAATTTCATTTTTAGAAGGAACAGTCACTGTTCTTTTGTGTTCAGTAGCTTCTGGTGCAAAGTTAACTGAACAGCTGTTGCCGAGGACTGTAGAGAAGTTAGACTTGTAATTGTGTTACCAGGATAACCCGAAGGTAGAATTTGTTATACTGGGAATGATGAGTGTTCCCATTAGTTTGTAAACTGGTATTTATTGAAAATGTTGAAGATGCATATACATGCACTAACAAAATTTATTTGTCTGTAAGTACGTTAAGATGTACTCTAGTTTCTGAGATTCTGAGAAATGTATTGTAAATATTTTTCAAGCAGTTTGCAAAAATTTCTGACCCCTGAATAAGATGAGAATTGACAAAAGAAGAGGTGGTGTAGAGCCATTTGTAGGGCAGTCTGAATCCCAGTGCAAATCTCCTAAGCTACCTTAATAGAGAAATATCACATTAAAATAAACATCAAGGGTACTGTTGAAGAAGGAAGAAGTCTCAGAAGTATGGTGACTCGTCCATCCTGGTTTATCCAGGTGTGCCCCAGTTTTATTACTGAAAATCTCATCTCCTGGAGAACCATTCAGTCCAAGGCAAACCAGGAAGGTTGGTCCCCCTACCTAGAAGGGTAAAATATAGATTGGGAAGGTATGATTGTGTTCCTACAGTACTGAAAGAACCAGGCTTAAGAACTGATTGTATGTCTGTGTGTGTGTTTTTCTTTACTTGAGTTTCTGACCTACTCTGGGATTTAGGACCTGTAACCTGAAGTATTTCCTCTGTATATTTGTTTTTCTTCACTTGTAAAATAAAAGATGTAAAAGAAGAAAAGGTTGAGAACTGTATTCTTTTTTTGAATGTTTTTAGTTATACTTTTAATTATCTAAAAAATTTATGTGGAACAGCCATTTGAATTTATATTTTTCTGGCACTTTCTTGTAGAAATAGAGAACATAGCTTTCCAAGGAAAACTTAATTCTTGTCATTTTAGTTTGAGAGAAAAAGAACATAAATATAAAAAGGAATAGAAAAAATTCAAGGGTGAAAAGTATCTAAGACTGTGCAATATTCTTATATTTTAGGAAATGACAAATTTAAAATTTTCTGAGTTTAATAAATAATAAAACATTGCATATTAAAAGGAGAATTGTCTAGGGATGATTTTTTTTCATTTTCTTGAAAGTAGAAATTATTTTTGTTTTGTTTCTAGCCTTTATGAAATTCCAGCTGTGTCTTCATCATCCTTTTTTGAAGAGTTTGGCAAACTGTTGAGGGAAACAGATGAAATGGACAGTATCCATGATGTGACATTTCAAGTTGGCAATAGAATCTTCCCTGCACATAAATATATTTTGGCAGTGCGGTCTGACTTTTTTCAGAAATTGTTTCTTTCAGATGGTACTACTTTAGAATTTACAGATGTTTACCGGAAAGATGAAGACTCTGCAGGATGCCATCTCTTTGTGGTAGAAAAGGTTCATCCTGATCTGTTTGAATACCTTTTACAATTTATATACACAGATACTTGTGACTTTTTAACTCATGGTTTCCAACCAAGAATATACTTAAACAAAAAATCAGAAGACTGTCAGGGCAGTCTGAATTCTCATTTGAATAAAATGAATTGCCATGAAGATGGTGGTCAGAAGTCAACATTTGAGGTTTCCAAAACTAATCAAATTCATACAATTAGTGAAAGGCAGAAGAGCAAACACAAATCAAAAAAAGGAAAAGGTGTTGAGGAAGACGATCCTGTAAGAATGTTGCAAAATGTTGCAAAGAAATTTGGCTTCAGTAATTTGAGTAGTAGGTAAGAAACCTCCTTAATATCTGTTCTTGTAACTCATTGCATCCTCCTTTTAAAAATTATTCCTTTTTTTCTTTCCTTTGCTTTTCTTTCCTCCCTCTCCTTCTCCCCCCACTTTCTCCTCCCCCTCCCTTGTCCCCTCCCCCCACTTTCTTTTTTGGGGGTTGTGCATGGATGTGTTCTTCCTGCATTTTCTGTCAGGGCTATCTCTGTGGGACTCCCTGGATTAGAACTTAAAGGATAGGAAGGCTGTTAGTGGGTTTGAACTCTGTGGTGTGAGTGTTTAATGGATCTGGAGTGGCAGGCAGGAGGATGGTGTGCTAGAAAGACTTTGGAGTTAGACCTATATATGCCTCTTAGCTCTACTATTACTGACTGCGGCAAATTTCTTATTTTCTTTGAATTTCAGTTTCTCAATATATGAGATAGGAGGGATAATATTCACCTCATACTGTTGGTATAGTTTTTCACATAGCATGTGTCAAGTCCCCAACAGTATCTGTCACATTATAAATCAGATTCTTTGGATTTCTCTCTCTCTCTCT